ACTGGGAGCCAGATAAACCTACTGTGTGCCAGGAGCACCTACTGGGAGCCAGATACACCTACTATGTGCCAGGAGCACCTACTGGGAGCCAGATACACCTACTGTGTGCCAGGCACTTTGCAGACACGACACCAGCATCACCCCTAGCCTTACTAGGGAGGGTGGTTTATCAATTTTAGTTTACAGGAGGGGATACAACCTGCCCTCCACCGCATCTCAGAATGCTGAGTCAGAGTGTGTAAAAATGCAGGTTCCTGGGCCCCACCTGGCCCTACTGAGGCTGGACAGTGGGGCCTCAGAAGCTGTGTTCTACAGCAGCCCTGCAAGCTGATCCCCATGCAGGCAACACAGATCTCACTTGGTGGAGCCAGATCATATGGGCTGTGTCTCTGAGCCTCAGTTTTCTCATCCATAAAATGGGGATTTTTTACACCTGAAGGTGCACAAGCAATAACCCCCCAAAAGAAAACCTAATTAATTCGGACTCATATTGACTCTGTTGTGTCTCCAAGGTCTTGATGGGAAGAAATTCTTCCAAGGAGCGGCTAATGGATTTGAACCAACGACTTTTTGATTACTGGTCCAACACATTATACACTACACACTATGCCATCAAGGCTCCTGACATTTTAAAAAATGATCTAACATATGTATAGCACCTACAGCACTGTCCAGTGCCCCACAGTCACTGAGTAAGTCATAGACAGGACCACTGACGACGGCTGGAAGACCAGGGATATCCACACGTCTCACGTAACATCACTATCAACTCGCTGGGAGGAGAGTAGGTTCTAGGATTCTTCCCATCTTATAGATTAGGAAACTGAGGTTCAAAGAGGTAATGTGATTTGCTGGGGGCCACACAGCTAGAAAATGTTAACACTGGGACTTGAACTTGGGTAGTTGGGCTCCAGTGCTCTTAACCACTAGGTAAGTGGCCATTTCCTTCCTGCAAAACTAGATCATTTTGAAGTTCGGAGTCAGTGGGACACTTGGAGCTTGTGTGGTTGCTCCCGGCGTGCAGACTGGGGGACCAGGAGGGTCACCTGCAGAGGAAGCAGGAGAGAGACAGGGGTGTGTGTGGGCGCGGGGAGACGACTTGCCTGGCCTCTGATCTGGAAAACGTCCCGCAGGCCCAGCGCCTGGCCTGCTGCCTGCTGGGGGTCCTGAGAGGGAAAAGAAAGGAGGAAGGCTGCAGATGAGGAAGCTGTATCAGTGGGTGTCAGCACTCTCTCCCCTCATTTCCTGGGTGTGGGCACGGGCCCTAGGGCAACGCTCGATGTGCAGAGGTCACCAGGGCAGTGGGGGTGAATTTGAGAATTCTGGAGTTAAAAAAGAACCCCAAGCAAAATTGTGGAGCAAGACTTGAAAGGTTAGGTTGCTAAGTAAAAGGTCCATAGGTGAACCCACAGCTGCTCCACGGGAGAGAGGTGAGGCCGTCTGCTGTGCGAAGGCTCTCGCGCTGGGAAGGACTGTGAAGCAGCTCCCCTCTGCCCCATGGGGTTGCCAGGGGCCAGAGCCCACTGAAGGCCAGTGGTGGGTAGAGTCAAAAAGACCCCATGTTAAACTCCATGCTGTGGACCTTCTGGAGCCTTGGCCTCCTCCTGTGTGACACGGGACAGCAGCACTGGGTCTGCCTGCTCCACTGCGTGTTACAAGGTTGGTGAACGAATGGAGGGAGGCCTGACTGAGAGATGACTGGCGTGTTTATGCACGGAGTCCACCGCCGCTGCTGTCCCATGTCACACCCGAGGCCGCCGGGTCTTCATCTAACGCATGGGGTGTGCGGGAGCCACAGAGACGGGAACCAAGTGCCATTCGACACAACGAGAAAGTCTGGGGGCCACTGTCCCTCAGCCCCGACTCTCCAGGGGGTGTCTTCATTTGTATGCTTGCTTCCTTATCCTCGACATCTTTCTAACCTTTGCAATGTCCTTGCCGAACACAGTGAGAACAAGTCTTGGGACCTAGAACTCAGTCGGCCAGGGGACCTAGCATCTCACTGAATTGTCTTACTTTCATTACATTATTTTACAGAGGATTGTTGTTGGGCACCCTTGAGCAGGCCCCATTCACAGGGGTTGTCTGCACAGTCTTGTCCTGGGCCGTCCCCACGGCCATGGCTGTATATGAGGCCACTGTTGTAGCCACTGGGTCGGTCCATCTCATTGAGGACCATCCTGCTTGTCACTCACCCTCTGCTTTTCAAGCATGATGTCCTCCAGGGACAGGTCCTCCTGGTGACATGGCCAAAGTATGTGAGAGAAAAATTCACTACCTTGCACTCTGAGCTAATTCTGGCTGTGTTCTTCCCAGGTAAATGTGTTAGTTCTTCTGACAGTATGTGCTATGATTACTTTCCCTTTATATTAAGAATTAGTGGCTTCCTGTTGATGCCATTATTATATGCTTATTTTACAAAGCAATTACAAATTAGGTGCTGCTTCTGTTGTCTTAAAAATTCATTGCTCTTGTGTCAATTCCCTCAGAGGCTGTAAATTTTTACAGGAGGGGAATGCTCACCTTTCTACCTCGAAGCAGCTGGTGGGTTTGAGATTTTGTGTTTTGCACTGTAGCCATTGATTAGGAGGGCTAAGTCCCCAAAGGGAAAAGGGCATCGTGCTAGGTAAAGTCGGCAAAAAAGAGGGAGACCCTCAGCGAGGTGGACAGAGGCAGTGATTGCAATGCTGGACCCAAGCCTCGCAGTGAATGGGGGAGGGCACGGGTCTGCACTGCGTTTTACTCTGACACGGGGATGCTCCGAGTTGGACCTGACTTGCTAGCACCTCATGGCACTGCTGTTATGTGTTGTGAAGTCCACTGTGACTCACGTGGACCTATGAAGAGTGCTTCGAAGCCTGCTCTATCCTGTGCCGTCCTCCTCATCACTCACAGACTTGATCCGATGGCTGGTGTCACTGTGTCAATCCGCTGCGTCCCTTCACCAAGGACGGGCCCTTCACGACAGCAAGCCCAGAGGAGGTGAGAGGAAGTTTCGCCTCCAAGGAGCACCCTGGCTGCACTTCCTCCCAGCCATACTTGTGTGTGCTTTTGACAGTCCATGGAATATTCAGTACCCTCACCAACACCACAGCCCAAAGGCAATGATTCTTCTTCTGACACTGCGAGGGCTGAGGGAGAGCGTGAGATAATACTGTAATGGGTATAATCACAGGTACCTGGCTGCCCAGGCTGAGGCGGTGCCGGGCTCTGCGCGGCGGCCGGGGCTGGCCTGGCGGCCTGGACTGAGTTGGTCCGTCTCAGACCTGTAGAGGGAAAGAAAGGAAACAGCCGTCATGTTTCTGAGAGAGAGGGGAGAGCAGAAACATGCTTGGGACCTGTCAGTGGGGTGTGACTGCACGAGCAGGCCCTGCACCTTGTCGGGGGAGCCTGGGTGGTGTGATATGTTAGGTGCTGGGTTACTAACTGAAAGGTCGGCAGTTTGACTTCACCAGGCCCAGTGGGAGAAGGGTGAATGGTCTTGTCCCAGAAAGATGCATATGGTGGGTCACCACAAGTTGGAACTGATCCCGTGGGGTTGGGTTTGGGGTGTGCATCTTCTCAGTTCTCCCACACCCTCTTCTCCTGCCCTGGGTGCATGCTCACATAACCTGAGCAAACACAGGTGGGGCCTGGGTGCTACCGGTCCAGGGGCTGTATGCACACCCATGTCCATAGCACCAGGATTTACAAGAGCAAAGACATGGGAGCCACACAATGGACACATGGCTGAAGAAACCATGGTGCAGGCACACAGTGGAGTACTATACAACACTGCAGAGTGACCAGGAACTTGTGAAACGCCACACAGCATGGATGTATCTAGAAATGATCTGAGTGACAGGAGGCAGTCACAAAAGGACAATGAGAGTGTATGACCATTATAGAAGCTAAGGGAAGGTTCACACACAGACTCAATCTTAGAAGGACAGCAGGGGTGAGAAAGGAGGGGAAGGGAGTAAAAAAATTAATATATAGAAAAATGGATAAAAGAAAAGGCAATATACAAGAAGGGGTTGATCAGACATTGTGACTGATGACATTAATTAATTGTAGTGAATGTTATTAAAACAAAATCTGAATGAATGATTGAAAGAAAAACCAATATGATTTGCAAACTTGCATTCAAACGGGAAAAAAGTAAAGAAGAGAAAAAAAAGTCCAGGGGTTATGACTTTGTCCCCTCCAACAGCAGGTCTATGTCCAGCACCAAACATGAGACCTGGCACATAGTAGGTGCTTGATAAGTGCCTGCCAAGTGAGCAGTGTGTAAATCGCAGCTGGGGCCCATCGGCAATCGAATGCACTGTTTTGTCAGGTAGTGAGCTCCCCATGTCAGAAGGTATGCGGGCAGAGGGCAGTCAAGCTCTGTAGGGGATTTCTGCATTGTGTGTGATTCTGAGAGTAAGTCCTGGGAGAGAGCCGTCTGACTGGGAATTTGTCACCCAGAGCGTCTGCCAGTCCTACTTGGGTGTTATAGTCGGGGGTTTTGAGAGTGGCAGCATGGTAAGTTACGTGTTGGGTTGTTGACCACAATGTCAGCTGTTCAAACCCTGCAGCCACCACATGAGAGGAAGATGAGGCCGTCTGTTCTCAGAAAGATTGAGCCTTGAGAGTGACGTGTCAACAGCAGGTGGACAAGGAATAAGTGAGACAACGCACATAAGGAGTTTGGAGGAGAACCTGACACACAGGACACAATAAATGTATGATGTTGCAAATTTGAGATCTCATCTTTCTCTGTGAATTAGGGAGACTGAGCAGTAGACTAAGCACAAAGCATGGGTCCAAACCTCGCTGCCAAAAAAAAAGAACTGAGTGCACAGGCATTCAAATCCATACATCGGGGAGAGAGGGAAAGGAGGCGCTGTGGGACCCAAACACCCAGTCTACTGACCTTGGATCCCGGCTCACACCCACTCCACAAACAACAGGCTGCTGTGAGGTCCTACACAGGGTTATGGGTTCAAAGCTCCCCATTGAGCAGACATTCATTTCAAAGTCCACAAGTCCCACCAGTGGGCACACTTGACCAATAAATCCATGAGGAGTGACCTGGAGGGGCTGGACACTCAATGACAGCCCCCATCGGTGACATCTGGCCACATGGAGCCGCTCCCCCTACAGAACACCAGAGGCCACTCGCCAAGAGAAGAACTTAGTTGAAACGGAGAGTGACCTATCCTGGCTTTGTTGACAGCCAAAGGCCATTGGCTGTCAATACCCAGATGGCCTCTGGGGAGGGGACAGGGTCTTCATGGGTTTTGGTGGGTTTTGGTTAGTTTTTGGGCACCTGGTCTTAGAGCAAGAACACAGCCGAATCAGAAATATGACTGTCTGGAGTTGGAATGGTTTTGGAATCCTGTCTTCTATCACAGACTAGAAACAACACCCAGAACAGAGCATGATACATAGAAGGTGTTCAATAAATACTGGATGAACAAATGTTAAGCGCCCTACTACTCTCATGCCTTCTGGTTCTCCTCCTCCAAGAAGCCCATCTGGATTTGCCCATCTCTCACCTCCTGGGCTCCGGCTAGAGTCACTGGCAGCCCCGCCGTGGTCCCAGCTCTCTGAATCCCGGCCAGCTGAGCCCATTCTTGCCTCAGAGGCCCTGCGTACAGGAGGCCCATAGCTTCCCCGCCCAGGTGTAGATGCTGGGTCAGGACCTGGAAGGAGAAGGTGAATTGAAAAGAGAAAAAGGAAGGAATAAAGTCAAAGATTTCTGCCTCAAAGTAAAAGACAGAGTCTGAAGAACCCACCTGTCTTTGGACCTGGGCCCTTCCTGTCTTCAGTGTCACCTGAAAAGAAGAAATTTTTAAAAAATGGATATGAGAGCTGGCTTTCTCATGTCTGGAAGCCATTACTTTCACAAAAGGGCTGTATCTGTTTTCTCATGCTGCCAGAACAGAATAGTACAAGGGGATGGTCGTAACATACAGAAGTTTGTTCTCTACAACTAGGACTAGAAAAGTCCAAGTCAAGTGCCACCTCTAGGTGGGGTGGGGCTCTCTATGCACCTTCTGGATCTAGGAGTTTCCTAGCACAGGGACCTTGGGTCCACAGGAGGTATCTGGATCTCAGCTCTTCTTTCCTGTTGGTCTCCCACCCTCTTCTCATTTCTCCCTCCTTTTATCTCTTGTAAGATAAAAGGTGCTTAAAGATCACATCCCAGAGAAACTCCCCCCACATAGCATCAGGGATATCATACAACTAATGGTGGTGTGCCCCATCCTAACCTCCTTACATGGATGCAACCAGAACTGAGATGTGTTTGAAGACTTTTTGTTTCATGTTTATCCTTTCACAACTAACTCACTGACAGCAAAAGATCACATCATGGGGGAGAGGATGGCATCACTGTATTAATTGTCAAATGACATCATTACGTGGCTGTCCATGAGAACCACAGACCAGCCAAGTCAACACATAGTTTGGTGGAAGGTAGAGGTAGAAAGTGCAAGTCATGACAAGGGCCCAACTGCCACATCCCATATAACATTTTTCAAATTAAAAATTTTCCTTCCTAACTGCTCTTCTGATGTTTCTCCTGTTTAAAATGTCATATTATTTATTTTGCATACACAAATACCCATGAAGAGATATATAACTGAAAAAGAACAATAATAGATCACTGGCTACGTATAGTGCTAAAATGTGCTTTGTTCATTCAATGTGAATCTCCCCACAGCACTAAGCATGTGCAACCCCAGGCCCTTTGCACATGCTGATCCCAAAGATCCTATTGGTCCTCTCTATTACTTTAGGTCTTTCTCCTCAGATTGGCTTTTCCTGGACATTCTACCTAAAACGGTGCCTCCTTTCACTATCTATCCCATTTCCTTGCTTTATTTCTTCCCAGCATGTGGCATTACTTGACATTATTACAGTCACATTTGTTTTCACCACTATAATTTTAGCTGCATGAAGACAAGGATTCTGCTTGCTTTGATACTACTGAAATCTCTAGGGCAGAAAATAGGGCCTGGAACTTACTAAGTGGCTCTGTAAATACCTGTTAAAGTATTTACTTCAACACTTGTTAAAAGTTGAAGGGGCATGTAATAAACATCATTGAAACTCTGTAATACCGGGTATGACTGATAACAGAACTTACATGTAAGTCTACCTTTAGCCTATTCCTGACTATGCTAAAAGGGGAATTGGATTTGTTAAGAAGAAACACAAGCTGTTGATACAAATGTATTCTAAAAGACGATTAATATATCATGGTGCAAAATATATCTCATTTAATTCAATGACTTCTAAGTTAATGAACATTTAGATTACTCTTGTGTTTTTGCTACTATAAATGATGCCATAAATGTACTTTTGCATATCTATTTATATTGTGACTTTTATTGATACCTGATATACTGCCAGGGAGGAACTACTGGATTAAATGATATATACACACACTTCAAATTTTAAGAAATCATATCTTACTACTTTCCAAAAAATTAAGCTGATTGATATTCCTACCAAAAATTTATAGAATAACCTTTTCTCTACACGTTCAGCAGCACTAACTGCTACTGGCAATAAGTCTTCTTAGGTGCTGCTGTGCGATGCTGATGCTACTGATTCTTTCTTATTAGAAAGCCCCTATTTTCATAGCTATTTGCTTTGTCCAGAGTTTATCTCACAAGCTAATGCCATTGGTAAAGAGCATTTCTGCTTATTATGTAGTGTGTACGTGATTATCATTACATAACATTGGCAAATGTTCATGAGGGTTCCCCTCTACAAAGCATTTTACACGCATTCAACTCTCAAAAGAATCTAATGAGAATACTACTGACGAGTAAACAGAGTCTCCGAGTGGGCAGGCCCCTTCCCCTGAGGTCACACGGCCATTCAGTCGCAGAAAAGGAACTGAAACTCGGGTCCTCACATCTTCAGGCGTCCATTCTCTTGGCAGTTGTGTTATGCAGTCTTCTTAGCCCAGGGTGAGGGTGCTTAGTCAGGAAGCAGGATGCTCTGGGGGTGGACATCAGGGACCTCTTTGGGATGCACTACATCCTGACAATTTGGTTCTCTTTGGCAACATAGAAACTGCTAATGTCTTGCCTTTGATGAATGTCTCTCGAGTGTCAGGCACTGTGTTTGGTCCTGTGCGAGGCCATCATATAGGAGACACGACTGTCCACTTCCACGTTGGAGGACTTTCATGAAACCCTCCTTTCTGAAGCGCTGCCGATAGTTAACTCCAGAATTATACTCCAGGACAGATTTTACTGTTCAGTATTAATGGAAACGATTAAGAGGGGATTATCAGGGCAGACCTAGTGAACTCACCCAGTTATAATGTGTTCTCAACTGGGGTTGCCTTATTACCATTATTCGTTTGCCTCGCTATTTTTATCATCATTTTAATAATTAATAATAATGCTTGAATAAGAATGATAATATAATAGTAGAGGCAATGTTTTCACACTAATCTCCTTTTTATTCATCTTTCACTTTTAATTAGTCCCATTTCCATTTGCTGATGGATGACAGAAGAAATACTAGGGGCCAGGAAGCCTTCCTCGGCAATGTTCTCAGGTTCTACTGTGTATATGGGTGACGGTGGTGGAGTCTCTCTGGGGAGCCCTGGTGGCACAGTGGTTAAAGAATTCTTCTGCTAATGATAAGGTCAACGGTTCAAAATCACCAGTCCTTTTGAGAGGAAACGATGAGGCAGTCTGCGTCTCTAAATACTTCAACCTTGGAACCATTACAGGGCAGGTCTACTCTTCAGATCGGGCTGCACTGAGTTGGATTCAACTCGATGGCAGTGGGGAGGTGGACAGGGATCTCTCTCGTTGTTAGGGGCCGCTGAATACGACACAACAGACTACAATCCCGTCCTCTGGTGTGCCGTCCTCACCATCTCTGATACGCTGGAGTCCTCTGCTGCAGTCACTGTGTCAGTCCATCTCGATGGGGGTCATTCTCTCTTTCGCTGACTCTCTACCTTTCCAACCACAATATCCTTTGCCAAGGAACACCTCTCCCAGCAACATGTCCAAGGTATGAGAGACGAAGCTTCATCATCTGTGCCTCCAAGGAGCACTCTGGCCAGGCCGCACATTTTCTAAGACATACTTGTTCGTTCTTTTGGCAGTCCATGGGATATTTATTTAGTGCTCTTCTCCAACCTGCACTATGCAGATGACACAGCCTTGCATGCTGAGAGCGAGGGGGACTTGAAACACTTGCTACCGAAGATCAAAGAGTACAGCCTTCAATATGGATTGCATCTTAACATCAAGAAGACAAAGGTGCTTGTCTTACCACTTGGCAACATCACAATAGATGGCGAAAGGATTGAAACTGTTAATCATTTCATTTTGCCTGGATCCACAATCAAAATTCTTGGTATCAGCAGCCAGGAAACAAGGAGATGCATTGCTTTGGGCTAGTCTGCTGTCCGTAATCTCCAAAATACTGAGCTAAAGAGTAGTGATGTCAATTTGAAGACTAAGGTGTGCCTGATTCACGCTGCGGTCTTTTCAATTGCTATGCGTCTGAGAGCCAGATGATGAACAAGGATGACAGATGAAGAATCGATGCCTTTGAGTTGTGGTGTTGAAGGAATCTCTCTTAGTTCTAATTTTATTCCCTTCTCTGTTGGATCTCTAGGGATGAAAAGAGAGCCTCCTGGCAGCCTGGCATTGATGGAGACTGCCCTGTGCTACCCTCCTGATAAGATGAGCTGTAAAGGGGACACAGGAGTCTTAGATAGAACTGAGTTCTAGACCAAACAGAAGGACTGGCAGTCAGGGTGTAGACCAGTTAGCCAGGAACTCTCCTTGGTCCTGAAACGAGAGGTTGAGCCGTCTTACCTCGAGCTGGCGCCCGAGCTGTGTGCGGAGGCTCAGGGGTGGGCTGTGCCGGGGCCAAGGGCTCGCTGGCGGGCTGCTGAGGCCTGGTCTTCTTTATAGGCATGCGCTGCGGGAGGACCTGTTTGGGGAAGCCCTTGAAGAACCACGCTCCGGATCGCTTCCACACCTGGAGGGGAGCAGGGGTGAACGTTGTCATGCCACGACAGTCAGTCACAGTTTCTCCTGCCTCCCTGACTGCCGGTTTTCAACCTAGCTCCCTGCCCTCAACATACTGATACAATAGCCACCACAAGGCCTTTCAAAAAATTCCTGTTTACGTCTGCACAATAGCTCTGAAGGCACAATAAGAAAAAAAATGACCTGGAGGCCTTCCACAGTGATGGTCACATAACATGGTGAATTCAATGATTGTCACTGAGTTTTTCGTGTTAATAATGTTGACATAGGAGCTCTGGTGACCTAGTGTGCCAACCCCACAGTAAATCCACCAGCTGCTTGGTGGGAGAAAGATGTGTAATCTCCTCCCGTGCAATTTACAGCATCTGAAAAATCTGCTGGAAGGTCAGCTGTGAGTTGATTCCAACTTGACAACATATAATAACCACCGCCACAGTGTTCACACGGCAGATACTTGATTATATATCAGTGTATCATTATATACATAAATAGATGAAGGAAAGTTTCCACAATCCCAGTGTGGTTGTGTACAAGTGAGTTGGAACCAACTCATACCCGACCCTCTGGTGTGTCTGCAGAAGCAGTGAATTGCATGGGAGACTGTCCGTCTTTTTCTCTCAAAGAGCATCTGATGGATCTGAACCATGTGTCCTTGGAGAGAATAAAGGAAGGGAACATTCTCCACAGTGAAGAGAAGAGAAATGCATTCAAACATTTACAGTTATTGCACCAGTGTTCATAGCAGGCCAAATTCTTCCACACCAGCTCCCAAAGTCTCCAGCTGCCACCCTGTTGGCTTGGTTCTAGGGGAGAAGAGGGGAGCCAGGTAAAGAAGGGGCGGTGCCAGGCTCGGGGAGACCAGGCTACTCACCTCCCTCTGCTCGATACAGATCCTGCAGAGCCACGTGGGGTGCAGGCGGTTGTTGGAGGTCTTCACCCCGCACTTGGTGCAGACGTTCTGGGGATAAAACACAGCCCGGCTTGCACCCTGAGCTGCCAGGGCCTAGGGCTTAGGTGCTGGGGGTCTGGGGAAGGGGGCCTCATTCCCTCCAGGTGGACAGGAAGCAGCAGAAGATTCCCCCTTTTCTCGCACTTGCTTCTATGAGAACAAGCTCCGATTTGACCGTGCCCCCTCCCGAGAGCCAAGGGCCCAACCAGATCATCAACTCAGAGGGTTCCCAGCTGAGTCCCGACTTCCAATGCCAAGAGCTTGAATCATTTCCACATCCTGGGGGAAGGAATTCGCCATCTGTCCCCGTGGGGTCTGAGTGTTTAGTATGCGCACTAGGAGATGGCTGTCACGATCTTTTAAGGGAATTTAGGAAAGACCCAGTGGGAATCTGAAAAGATGGGGTATTAGTGGGCATGGGTCAATGGTGATTCATTTTACCAAACTATAACCAGGAGTTCAAACCCCTGAATAGAAGGAAGTGATCTGATAAACACAACAACTATTGATGGAACGTAGTAATTTGGCTGAGCTTCCTGGTACATCAAGATGTACAGGACATCGGAACACTTTTCCAAATTCTCCCTACCTGGTCGACTGCAATGCATATGTTTTTCAAAATAGGAAAACCTTCCCTGATATTCCATTCTAAGTGCGAAACGGGACACCCAACAGAAAATGCCAAGTGACGTTATGATGTCTCTGGCTGGACTGTCCCCTTGAATTTCCTTGCTGGGAATTCGGCAAGCTGACAGCTGTATTCTTTCCCTGAAATCGTCAAGAGACGATGGCTTCAGGAAGGTGGGGAAGGTGAGAGAGTACAGGGAGGTTCTGCTTCTCGAACACGCAGCCTTGAGACCCAGGAATGCTGGCTTAGCCAGAGAGTGTTCCAGGTGTGCTGTCCCCTGACACCTTCCACACACACGCATGTGCACACGGCCCCAGCATCGTCCTCACGCTGCTGCCCCATTTGCCGGGTCACAACCAGGAAGCTCACAAGCTCAAGCACAGCTCACGTTCCACCTCAGGTCCTATCCTGGACAGAGCTGAGCTCCAAGGGACAGAAGGGCACAGTGACTTCCAGGGGGAGGAACCAGCGTCTGGGGTACCTTTGAGGACAGCAAAGCCTGGGGACTGTCTAGATGGAACCCTATTCTGCCCCTACGCCCTGAATCTCCACTCTAACCCTGGGATCCAGGACCCCCTGCGGATGCTGAGTTAGGGGAGGGAAGGCAGTGGTGGGGCGCAGAGATGGTACCTTCTTGCAGTCCTCACACACCACGCAGCCAGAGCCCGGCAGCCCCAGCTGCTCTCCGCACAGTATGCAGCGGTTCACCCCGTCTCCTGCCACGTTCTTCCTCATGTTCTCCAGGCGGTCCACCAGGCGCCTGGACGCGGAGAGAGGGTGAGAAAGACCTCGGAGTGGAGACCACCAGCATCTACTACAATACTAGAGGGTCTTAACCACCTCTGAGTTAGAACGACTCATAAATGACCCTCCGGCAGGTTTTCAGAGGGCGTCAATCCCACAGGAGGAGACTGCCCATCTTTCTCCTGAGGAGCAGCTGGTGGATTCGAAACACATACCTCTGGGTTGGCAGCACAACTCCTTGACCACTAGGCAACCAGGATTCCTGCCTATACCTTCCACAGCCCATTGATTCTATTCACTTTAGATTAAGAACCTTATCTAGTGCGTCTTAGCTTTCACACCTCCTCCAGGAAGGCCACCTAGTCTTCTATTTTATTGCCTATGTGACTATACAGGGAAAGCCTGTATGGCCTAGCGGTCAGAAGCTGGGCTGCCAAACCAAAGGCACATGCTTTGAATACATCAGCTGCTCGGTGGGAGAAAGATGGGCAGACTCCTCCTGTGTAATTACTTATCACCTCTGAAAACTGGCCGGAGGGTCAGCTGTGGGTCAGTTCCAACTTGACAGTACACAACAATAATAATAACACCACCACCACCACCACCACCACCGTGTCTTTACAGGTCTTTACTTGACTGCTTTCCACTTCCATTCCTGACAAACCTGCTCCCCTTTCTCAGTAAATGGCACCAATATCAACTAACTTGGTTAAACCAGAAACATGGCTGGAGGAGCATCTTCTCCTGACGTCCAGAGATCTAATCAAATCACATCCTACTGAGTGTACATTTCTGGAACCCATCGTGTCTCTTCATCTCCAACTCAACCCAGCCCCACTGTCTCCTTCCTCCTGGCTGACTCTTAGCAGTACTCCAGTAATCCGTCTTCTGGCTTCATCTGTGGCCTTCCACAATCCAGTCTCCCCTCCAAAGCCACGGTGATCACTTAAACACAGATCTGATCCTATAGTCCCACACCTCACTTAAAAGCCTATAGTGGGTTCTCATTCCCTGGGGCCTCCATGTCTCTCCATGGTCGGGGCTCCACAGAAACCCCAAACCTCTTCTCCTTCTTGGTCCTGCTTTCAATGCCCTTGTTCAGTGGTTCTCCAGAATATTGGCAGCAGCAGCATCTGGGGATTTTCTGGAAATAAAATTCCTGGGGCCCCTGCTGTAGACCAACTAAGAGCTACTGCTCCAGTTACACTGATCTTCCTTAAGTCCTGGTCTCCTATCTGCCTCAGGATCTTTGACCTTCCTACATTCTGTTCTTGGTGCCTGGAATATACCTCATTCCCACACTGGTGATAGTGTGCGTGTTTTTATTTTCTCTCTCTCTCTCCCCCTCCCTCCCTCCCTCCCTCTGCCCTACACCACACAGTTTCTCTCACACACTTTACAGTTCTCCTGGTTAAATTATTCTCCTCTTTTAAAAAAAAATCCAATGCAGACCCTTTACCATTGTGTCAGTTCTCACTCACTGTAACCCTGAATAACAGAGCAGAACCACCCCAATAGGGGTTCTTTTCTCTCTTAATTGGGATTTTTGTGAAAGTTTATAAAGAAAACTGGTTTTCATTCAATACACATTCTTGTTTTAGAATCCATAATTTCCAAGGCTATGATCTATACGGAAGCAGACTGTCTCATCTTTCTCACACAGAACTGCTGGTGGTTTTGAACTGCTGGCCTTATGGTTAGCAGCCAAGGGTTTTATGCAATATGTCACCAGGGATCCTTGCTCACAGGGGTGCCAACCCTTGAAAATTGTCTTTTCTAGCCATTGCATTAGACCTGTTGACAGAGGGGGAGGGGATTGTCTCCAACTATTTAATTGTAGAAACATGTTCTTGCAAATCATCAACAACTGTGAAATCAATATAAAGAGAAGCACCTTCCACATTGTGAGAGATGGCAATGAAGAGAGAGTGAAGAGACTGTGGCACTGCTGTGAAGAGATTGTGGCAAGGTATAACCAGAGAACCCTGGAGCAAAAGGCCATCGTTTAAGGTTTTGCTTGCCGGATGACTGAAGGAAAAGCTGACTTGTAACTGCTCTGAGATAAAGGTTTCTGGATGCCTGAGGAAACCAGAGTCTTCTTGCATTTATGCTGCAGAACTGAATAGAACTTTCACAAACTGAGGAACTGTGTCTTGCTATCTGGCTTGGGACTGCTGGACTAAACCTGGATTTGTGTTATGTGATAAGTCTTTGTGTATGTGTGTGATATTCTTTGCCTCCTCGTCTCCCCAACCCATTTCTCTAATGAATCTCACAACTGTGAGTAAAGTCTGTGAGTCTTACAAAAAAATATAAGACCCAGAGATTGTTAAAAATAGGTGCAGGAGTGTGTAGGGTGGCCTGTCTGATTATGTAGTTATTTGTATAGTACTATGGGCATTTATTTAATAATGTCCCTTCTGAAGTGGGTAGAAATCAGACTCAGCCACTCCCACATTGCATCTGCTCCTTTTACACTTACCCTTTAGATTCAAGTGAACTGTCACTCACTCCTGGTGTCTCCTCTGACCAATCATTTTCTGTCTTTTCATCACAGCCCTGTCCTGCTTCTGGGGGGACATCTGTAAATGTTGTGAGAGTATCACCATCACACAGCAGGTGGACGGTGAGAACCCCCTGGCACACCCTCTGTACCATGAGCACCAGTGGGCCTCATTCAGTGTGCCTGAAGACCACATGGGGATCTCACGAAGATGCAGATTTTGGAGTCACACCTCTGGGTTGGGATCTGCAGAGCTGCATCTGGAAGATGCTCCCAGGTAATGTCACAGCACACTGCTGGTCCCTGCCCACGCCTGTTTAGATCTCAGGTGTTCTGTTTTTATTTTCTATTTGAGATTCTTTTTGTTTTCATAGACAAGGAAATACCTAGATTTATAAAATATGTATGAAAAAAGATTTCCAGTCTCATTTACAATGAACAGAAATGTCAAATTGAAACGACACTGCATGTATGGTGAACTTATGCTTGTTAAGGGATCACGGATCACTGGGGCTAGAATCTGCAGGCAGTGGGGGCCACACCTCCCCAGCAGTTCAAATCCACCAGTAGTTTACAGCCTTAGAAATGGTACAAATCGCTATCATATTGGCTGTACTTGTTTTGTTCTCTTGTTGTGTATATGTCAACATTTTTTATATGTACTTATGTATTGGCTTTTATTGCATCTGTGTTTTGGTATAATATTTTTTTAAATTTAGTTTGTTTATTTTTCATTTCAATGAACATCTACAGAGATTTTGGAGTTCCATTCATTCATTGTTGCACCCTTCTCCCCGCACAAACCCCTCCCCCCCCATTTGCTCCTCTCCTTGAAAAGCAAAAGAAAAACTCCCTCATTGGTACACAATCCCCCCCCCCGCACCTCCCCAAACCCCACCCCTTACCCTCAAATATAATCCACTCTGCAACCAAAAAAAATTTTAAAGGTAATGTTAAAGACACTTGGTTAAAACCTCAATGTTCTTCTAGAAATGTTTATTCTTATGCAAGCACATTATATTTCTTTCCACCCTTTACTTTAGGGTTATATTATGCTAAAGATACTCTGTAAAATCCTAACTGCCTGCGAGTCTATTCAGCTTCAGAGTCGTCCTATAGGACAGAGGTCCTTTGGTCTGTCCCTTTTCTATCCTATAGGACAGGGCAGAAGGGCCTCGTCAGGTTCCCAGCACTGTCTGTAAATCTTAACAGAGGTAGGCTACCCATCTTTCCCGAATGGAGCAGAGGGTGGGTTCAAACAGGCAACCTTTGGTTAGCAGTTTATTGCCTAGTCTACCACACCACCAGGGCTCTTTAACCACTCCCTCCCAGTCAGAAATCCACCCCTACTTCCCTCCACTGCGACGTATTAGTCCCACTCCAGGTCCAGCCAGTCCATGAGGATCTGTCCACGTCTCCTGCCCCAGGGGCTGGCCCAGCTTCCAACATCAGTGTAGGAGTCTCCATGGCTGAGGCTGGGGCTGACCCTCCCCTGGGTCCCCAGTGACCGGACTGGCAGCCACCTGAGGCCAGCTCACGCCACACCACGGGCTCTCCCCACAGGCCCCCCTGTTCTGCTTCACAGTGTTATAAATAGCAGCTCCTCCCTTTGTGCTCCATTCAGGAGAGAAGCTGCTTTGGCAAAGGAAGCGCTGAAGGCAGCCTGGAGCTCCAGAGCCGCTGCTGTGACCCAGATTGGACGGGGCTGCTTAAGGAGCCCGATGTGCAGGGCTGAAGGCAGCCCGCTGCCGAGTGCTCTCCCTCCCATCTTCCCTAGAAACTGCGTGTGGAGGATGATGGGAGGAGACAGGAACCAGGAGAGAGCCCCAGTCCACGCTCCCAGCACACCAAGCATTACAGTCGCTCTCTGGTGACAAGTTGATTCTAATGCATCGTGACCACACAGGACAGGACAGAGTGGAACCACTCCATTGGGTTTCAAGGCGGTTAAATATATACATGTACTTATTGCTATGATTAGGGTGAAGTTCACAGAGCAAATTAGTTTTCACTCAATAATTCACACATACTTTGATTCATGAGACTGACTGCAGTTCCCACAGCATGACAGCACTCTTCCCACTTCCTCCCTGTGTTTACTGCTTCCATCCGTCCTTCTGGTCTCTCCATTCCTGCCTTCTGAGCTTTATCCCTGAGCACGTGCTGCCTTATCTCTTGTGTTTGACTCTTCTAAGATGAAGTGCCTCCCTGGTGTGACTTGATTACCACACAGGCCTGTCTATTGAGGGGTTGTGGTGGGGTAGTGTGTCAGGTTGCAAACCATAACGTCAGCTGTTCAAATCCTCCAGCTACTCTTTAGCTGAAAGATGGGCATCCTCTTCCTGCAACGTTCCACAACTTCAGAAACGATTTGAGTTGGAATTGATTCAGTGACAGCAGGGTTTTCATTCTGTAATTGTTTTGTTAAGAGTTGAGCCGTGGGGTGGGTTCAGGTCCAGGCTTGAAGGGTGAGTAGGGGCCACACACTTGGAGGCTCCATCAGCAATCCTGGG